CCACCTACTTTCATGATACCTTTTGAGGCCTCTGAGGGAGTGAGCCATGCCGAACAAGCGTCAAGCCAAAAGCCAGAAGAACAGGGACTCGGGACTAAGCCCGAACACCCAAAGCCACAAACAAAACGAATCTACCTAGACCCTGCCACAGCTTCTCAAAGTGGATTTGAACATCGGCAGCTATCGGCAGCTGACTGAAATGTCATTGCCTTCTGCTTCTTGCGGCAATGCTTGCAGGACAGGCATACGACCGCCGGCATCCGTGAGAGATCTCAAGGCCCCATCGGACCGAACGGGTGATCTCGCTTTCTGTCAGATCTGCGTAACACGGAGACTGCTTCTACGGCCGTAGTCGTGTTCAGGGACACAGTTTCAGGGTCGGCCTTTAATCATCTTGTCTTGCCTCCACTGAACAGACTAATTCAGCTTGAGTAAAGAGGTGGTACTTGCAGTTACAGGTAAGATACGCTCATTCAAGGCACGTATCGCCTTGCTTATGTCCCCAAGCCTCCAAGCTAACCCCGATCAAGGAAGATCCCTGATTGGTGAAGATGTCTCTTCAATATAGGGGTCATCATAAATGGAGTGTTGCTGCGAGTAGGGTGTGAGACTCTATCCGGATATCTCTTGGATGTTTTGGTATACTGTGTAGCTTGCCTCCTTGTAGGACTTTTGGGCCTTTTTCGGTACCAAAACCCATAAACCAGGACTACTTGGACCCTTATAAGATTCTGTCACCCAAAACCCAAAACCCACTGTGAAGGACCATAAGGGCTTTATCAAAGGGTACTTTGGGGGGGCATTGTTTCGGTGCTTCTGGTGAGAAATGGTCTGGTTTTTCGGACCTTGGGCTGCATTGCATCAGTGGGCTTCAAGGATAGCCGGTCCTCCAATCAACAGGGAAAAGGAGGGACCCTTAATGGGGACCCCTACCCTATAATGGGCTATAGAATGGGTATACAGCAGCAATATATTAAGGGTATATACCTAGGGGTCCTTATTAAGGGTTCCTCCTTCAACCCTTGGATTCAAGGGTATGGGCCTTAAAGTATAATCCCTGTATAGGTGCTTCGGGAGCAGAATTAAGGACCCTTAAACCCTAAAGCCTATGGAACCCTTATCGAACGCTTAACTTAAAGGTACCCTTAAAGGTACCCTTAAAGGCACCCTTAAGGGTACCCTTAAAGGAACCTTGGGGAGGTGGTGTTCGAGGCCTAAGCCGGACCCTGAACCTGAACCCTGAGCTGCCGGGCGCAGCTCGCACCGACTACTTGGAGGTTCATGGGACTTAGTATGTACACTTATCAGTACCTTAGCTGGGGATACAACCAATTATAAGGGCCTCGTAGGGTGTACATTACCAGAACCCTCCTTGTGCCCTCAAGTAGGGGTATCTGGCCCCAAATAATGGGCATTTAGGGTCCAATAGAGGGTAGATGGAGGGTCTAGGCAGTAGAAGCCAAAAAGTTGGAAACCCAAGAGCCTCAGTCCTTAAGAGTACTGTATAGGGAATCCCAGCACTATTTGGCCTTAATCCGGTTTCCAACTTTATGGAGTTTACTGTACTCCTTAAAGACGATGGCAGCGGATTTTTCCCGACCCTTTCCAGGGTAATTATGACTCTGAGGAACGGCCCCACAGTAGTTCGTTTTTGGGAATACCTTAGGATCCTACATTATGTAACCCAAATAGAACTACTTTGGGGCCTTTGGGTAGAGGCTCAAGAGCCCCAAAAAACGCCCCACGAACACAATAGCGTCATATTTATGGAAGTAAAGCCCCCTTTGCCTCGCCTGGCCAGGAAAACGTGGCAAGCGCGCTCGTGGCCTTGACTTGCATTGTCTTGTTTACGTGCTTCTTGGTGCTTTCGTGTGTGTATGTGTGTGTGTGTGTGTCTTCCACTGAAAGCAACTTTTTGGCAATTTGGGAAGTGCTCTTCAGACTTCGTTGCTTAGATATGCACTCGTGAGCTGATGAAACAAATCCATACCCATAGGCCCCATGGTAGTTCCTTTTTGGGATTACCTCATAGGACTCTCTCTCTCTCTCTCTCTCTCTCTATATATATATATATATGAACCCAAAAAAGGAACTACTTTGGGGCCTTTGGGTAGCGCCCAAAGTGAGGCGCGAACGACAAGCTCAAGCTCCGCAAAACAGAGTGTCACCAGGAGCACAGTCTACATCCAGCTGCCCTTGAAAGCAACAACTTCTACTATGAGAGTCTAACCTATCCCCAAAACCCTATTCTCGTTCTTAAGGCCCCTACATCACAGAAGCCCCTTCAAGTAACCTGAGCCCAATTCTGGTAACCAAGGCCTCGGTACTAGAGGCATTGCACAAAATAGGCGCGCCTCTTTAGAAAAGTCAGGGGAGAGTTGGTTAGCCTCGGCACTACATGTGCTTGTTCCAAATGCCTGGCGGGTGCTGGCAGATAGCACACATGCCGGTGGAAGGCGTAGGATTTAGTGTTGTGCATAGTGTACACAGAGACACGCAAGCACTGATCCAAATAGCACACCCTCAAGACAAAACAAAGTCTGAATAATCAGGAACTCATGCATGGCGTTCATCAGCCGTAAGGACTCCTATAGAATCCAGCTGGAAAGGATTTCGGAGCTTAGGTAGCTTGGACTGTCACGGTAGACAAAAGCCATGCAATAGCATGAAAATCTGAATCCCAGAGCCTTCGAACCTGTTGGCACTCCCAAACTCACCCAAAGGGTCCAGGTAATAGTATAGACTATACTTTGGGGGCCCAAATACCTACTAAGTAACTACTATACTAGTACTTGAACCCTTTGGGTCAGGCCTGCGACGCTCTTACAGAACCCGCTGTCTCAGACCCTCGAAGCCTGGGTGTTAAACCTGAACCTTTAGGGTTTACCCATAGGCCCCAAAGTAGTTCCTTTTTGGGATTACCTTATAGAATTCTAAATATGAGCCCCAAAAAGGAACTACTGTGGGGCCCATGGGTGGGTTTAGGGTTCCCTTTCAAGAAATCCTTCCCCAGGGGTCCAAGTACTCCTTATCATAGGACTTTAGGATACTTTAGGGCCTTTTTGTGTACACAGAAAATCCATAAACAAGGACACCTTGGACCCATTAGGGTTTCCGAACGCTCCCGGCCTTAAAATCTCCGAACTTTCAAGCGCCGCAAACCCCGAAATAGGAGTAGGATAAGCCTATAACAAAAAGGAAACCCGATTCGTGACCCTAGAACCCGTTGAGACCTAAACTCTGAAACCCAAAACCCTAAACCCTGAACCCCAAAACCTTGAAACCCCGAACTCTGAATCCCAACACCGATTTCGAAGCCCGACACAGCCCACGAAAACCCTTGGAGAACCCTCTGAACAGCTTATAAAATGGTGTAAATCGAAGAAACCCTATCTCGACCCTGCAAATCTCATCCTATAAGCCCGTGCATCAGACGTCTTCTAAAGGGCCTAGGTCCTAGGTTTCTTAAACCATTATACCTAGGCTCCTGAGGAGCCCGTTGATGGTACCCTTTTTCCTACTGCTCCTTTTAAATTAGTGGACAAAAAACACACAAAAAACAAACGGGTACGCCTCAGGAATCTAGAAACGTTTAGGTACCACGAAAGGCCCCAAAGTCCTATAATAAGAAATACTCGGACCCTTGGGGTACTAGCTACAGAGTACACCAAAGCATCCGAGAGAGCCAAAGCTACTGCATCTGGGTACATGGACTTTTAGGGTTAAACTTTAAACCCTGAAAGTACACTTTTGGAGCCCTTTAAAGGAACCCTATAGAAACCCCGATAATAGACCTCTTCAAAGGGACCTAAACCCCCAAACCAACCCTGCCCTACAACCTAAACGCTAAACCCTTTAGACCCGCTTTAAAGGAACCCTTTGATTTTTGAACCCCTATAGATCCCCTTCAAAGGAACCCCCTTTAGCTCCCCTTTGAAGGAACCCTATAAACCCCTATAGATCCCCTTCAAAGGAACCCCAAAGCCCTGCGAAATTCCACCGCGCGGCGTCGCGTCGATGCGGAGGCGCTCTGGGCCTCGGCGATGCCTCGTCGGAGGAGCTCCTGCAGTCTTGAGGGCAAAAAGGGCTTAAGGAGTTTGGGGTTTAGGGGTGTAGGGGTTTTGGGTTTTTTTTTTTTAAAGTGCAGTGACGTCCTTTCGCCCGCCTCACTCGAGGAGTGCACTAAAAGAGGATTCCACAGTTAGAAATCCTGCACCTCCATGACCTCAGACAAACACAGACTCAGCAAGTTCACTTCGCCTCTCACTGCTTGTACTTCTCTGAGCTACCGTCCCACCCATTCACTCTTCTCTATCCCGACTGCGACTACGATCACGAGAGTTCCAGTTCAACCGGTTCCGCACTGCAGGAGAGCCATCAGGTAGACCAGAAGCAAGGCTATGTGCTCCCGCAGAATCGGCTGCTGGGTGAAGAACAACAGGAGGGCCAGCAGGTAGAACTGAAGCTAGGCCATGTTCTTCCACAGAATCGGCTTCAGGGTGAGGAACAGAGCCAAGAAGATTTCCCTCAGGGACGGCAAGAGAAGCCGCAACCTCATCCACGAAGTCACTGTCATCCACAGCGACATCCTCCAGGACCACAGTACGAGGATCCGACTCAACAACAGCAAGGGAAGCCCCAGGAAGAAGTTCAGCAGCTCCGGAGCCAGCGACAGCAGTTTCACCAGGACGATGTACAGCAGCTCCAGGTAGAACAGCAGAGGCAGCTGGGGCATGTAGTACTGGTCCAACATCAGCTTGAGCAGCATGAGGACGAGGAACAGCAGCTGCAGGCAGAGCAGAAGCGACAGGTGCACTAGGACGAAGTACAGCAGCTCCAGGAAGAACAGCAGAAGCAACCAGGCCATGTAGTACTGGTCCAACATCAGCTCGAATCGCACGGGGACGAGGATCAGCAGCTCCAGGTAGAGCAGAAGCGACACTGGAGGGAACCGGAGGAGTCAGAGGTACAGGTTCACGTGACAGACTGTCCACGCGGCTATGCGGGCGAGCATTCTCAAGCAGCAAGTTTGTGCCAGGGGGAATCACCAGTGGAGGAGGACGATCAAAGCGAAGACGACGTCGACCACCTGGGGCATGGAAGCGGCCTTCACGTGGATGTCGCGGACGAGGCTCAGTGGCTGGCCAGTTACCAATGTCAGTTTCTGGTTCGGCTTGGACCAGGTAGAGAGTTTCATCGTGCTCACTGGGCCATGCTCCTCGCGGAACCTGGCGACCTTGTGCCACAAAAAGGCCACGAAGATGTACACGCCATGCTCTGCGCCTGTATCCCGCAAGCGTGTGATCAGCGACTCCAGGAAGCGCCGAGCGGACCACATCAAATGACTGAGGCAAGTCAGGGGCCAAGACAACTACCGGCGCATTGTTCCAAGACCCGCCTTGTGAGGAACTGGACCCAGAGCCGAAGTTGGCCTCATGCTGGATGGCATGCCAAATGCGTGCCTCATGCACATTCGCATTGAAGGCCTCACCATGATGAGGGAGCCGAATCCAGCGTAGCGACTCCTCCACGGCCTCTTGTAGTAGACGCTGACAATGTTGTAGGTAACGTTGTCTGTCAAGGAGACGGTGAAGCACCTCAACGACATCGACGTCCCCAGAGTGTACTTGGGTTTAGGGCTTAAGGCTTTAGCCCAAAGGGTCCAAGGTGCTGTTATGGGGAATACTGCAGGCTTTAGGGTTTAAGGGTTAAGGGTTTAGGGTTTAGGGTTGCGGGTTTAAGGAGTTTGGGGTTTAGGGGTGTAGGGGTTTTGGGTTTAGGGCTTAAGGCTTTAGCCCAAAGGGTCCAAGGTGCTGTTATGGGGAATACTGCAGGCTTTAGGGTTGAGGGTTTAAGGGTTTAGGGGGTTCAGGGTTCAGGGTTTAGGGTTTAGGGTTTTTAAGCTTTATAGGGCTTACCGCTTAGGGTTTAAGGTGTAGGGCTGAGGGTTTAAACGATCGAAAGGAAAGTTGAAGGGTTTAGGGCCTACCTAGACCCTAAATAAAATACGTCCCTTTTGGGGTTCCCTGATGTGAACTCATTATATATTCTAACAACTAACAACTCAAAAAAGGGAGGGGTTTGGGGGTTAAGGCGGGCTCTGGGGTTGTCGACCACAGCTCTAGGGCTTCAACGGGATGTTGAGAAGTGATTTCATATTATGCCTGAAAAGATTTGGCGGTTTGCGGGTGGCTTATCAGGCTTAGAATGGCTCTATACTGATTCCCGGAAATCGCAGATCTTGGAACTAGAGCTTTTTGTAGGCCTTAGGCTTGGGGCGTTAAAGTATTTTGTGGATTTTTTCTTGTACAAGGCCTTTACAGGGATTCTGCGTGGACTTGTATACGGTCTGGTATCGGGGCTTATAATTAATACATGAATTAAGGTCTTGCAGGATCTAGCCAGTAGGGTTCGCAAGAACTCTAGAATGATTCTACGATGGGTTTACAAGGTTTCAAGGCCAACAACAGATTCCACGAGAGGTTTTAGCAACTTTAAACTTGCTGCGTAAGAGCTTTAACCGCAGCAACACAGCTGCTGCTGCTGTTCTTGCTATGGGTTTTGGTCTTGCTTTTGCTTGTCGCATATCTGTTGTTCGTTTCTTGGGATATAGGTACCTCTAAACCCTAAACCCTGAACCCTAAACCCTAAATCCTAAGTACACCTGCCAGGCTCCAACTGCAGACAAAAATGCCCCAACACACTGTAGGTTGGCCACTAAGCCTGCCTGCAACTGCACCTAGCATGTTTAGGGCTCCTTAGTGTGATTTCCTTTTTTATGAAGGTCCTTGAAAAGGTGGGTTAGGTCATTTACGGGGCCATAATATAGTACCCCACATAGCAGGATCCTTATTACAAGGACCCCAAAATGAGGTACCCCCCAATTCCCGGAAACTCCCTTCAAGAGCTGCGCACCCCCTCGCTGCTTACTGAGTGCGCCTCAGTAGCCATCTGTGATGTGTCCGGCAGAGGAACCTTTCAGTTTGAGGCAGCGCTATAAACACCACAAGCCCCAAAGATGTACGTGTGTGTAAATAAATAAATAAATAAATAAATAAATATATATATATATATATGTGTACTTTTGTTTGTTTATGTATAATTCATGTATTTGTTGTTCCAACCTTGAGCTCCAAACCGTCAGCGCTAAATTCCGGTCTAAACCCACAGACCTGACGCCACACCTGTACTCCCCGGTCCTTCTCACGACAAACTTCTATATGCAACTTCTGAGGACTCTATATCTCCCACTACATATACCTAGACCCAAGAGTAGTACCTAGGAAGAGGGTGCCCTCTGGCCCAACCCAAACACCCACTCAAAACCCTATGCAACGTGCTAGGCGAGGACCCTTAATGGTGGATTCTAGTAACCCTTGAAATGCGATTCCCAAAGATTGGCGCCGAGTAGTGTGGATATCGCAGTGCAGATGTGAGCCGGTGGATGCGGATTGAGCACTCTGTAGCCGAATGCGGCCGACACCAGAGTGGCATGGTCCGCTTCAGGTCCAGGTAGCTGTGGGAGTCAGTAGATCCAGAGGGGCCACTTTGTCACGGCACACCATCAGACATCTGGCAATCAGCGGATCCCATCCCAGTCCATCATCAGCAGGATTTGGAGTCAGGTAGGATTGGAAGGCTAGGTTGGAGCAGATAGGTGCTGTGCCGAACGGGGTCGCCAGCGGATCATTCGAGCCTATGAGCTTCAGGAAGTAAGTGTTCAGCGACTTCGGCACCACCTTCAAATCAACATGGAAGAGCACTCTGCTGGTGAGCAGCTTCACTACATCGGCGGGTGTCAACTGGGTGTTCGGCTCGCCCACATAGTCCCTTGGAGCCCCGAGTCCGGGATCCACGGTTTACGGTTTAGGGTTTAAGAGTGCTCTTTCGGCCACCTCCTGGCACATAGAGCGGTGTTGACAAGGTACCTTTGGTCTGCGAAAGCTATCTAGAGGCTGAAGAGTTCAGAGTCCCTAAACCCTAAACATCCCTAAACCCTAAACGTCCCTAAACCCTAAACATCACTAAACCCTAAACCCTGAAACTTAAACCGAAAGTTTTAGAGTCTACGCCCAGTAAGTCTCCTTCATAAAGGGGCCTTCGGCTCCAGCATAGTGGGCGTTTAAGGGGGGGGTTCTTAGTTGGAGGGTCGGGGGTTTTAGTAACTATAAGGGGTTCCTTAAGGGCCCCTTGAAAGGGATCTATAGGGATTCTGTAAGGGTTTAGGGTTTAGGGTTTAGGGGACTTAGTAACTGGTTATTTTAGGGACTTATAAGTACCATAGCCCCAATTAGGGTCCGTTTTAGGGTACTTCTAAGTCTACTTGCTAACTACTTACTAAGTCCCCCGACCCCCCAAGTAAAGGGTCATGGGACTTAGTAACTAAGGCAATAATTAAGGTAACTATACTTGTAATTACTCATAACCCCCCATTAATGTACTTATAACCGACTAAGTCCCATGATCCTCCAAGTTACCAGCAAATTGAGGAACTCGGGTTGGAGGAGTTGGCCAGGTGCTGGGGTTTCGTCTGTGAGGAACATATACTATTCACGAAGCGTGGCCCCTTGATGATAGCAGTTATAAGAAGACGGATACCTTCGGTCTTACTGTTTGGTTTCTGCAAGGAGACACCTAGACATGCAAAAGGCTACTACTGGGAGACCTCCTACCCCGTTTTGGGGTATCTGCTTTTCTACACAACAGATCCTAACCATAAAACTAAGTATCCTAACAAGGGGTAGGGTATGAGCCTCTAAGTATCATGGTGTGGGCTGAGGGCGGCTTCCTCGTAGTTGGAGACAAGATGCATGTATAGGTGTTGACGGTCAGTGCCTGTAAGCGACAAACCTCGAAACCTGGACGCTAGTCGAACACGTACCCTGGCCTGAGCCCCTAAACCCTAAACCCTAAACCCTAAACCCCTAAACCCTAAACCCTAAACCCTAAACTCTAAACCCTTGTAAAGCCTTGTATACCTATCAAGCGCGCAGAACCCCGAGCCAGACCCAGTGTACAGCCAGAAAGACACTCCAACAAATAACAACAACAATGAAACAGCTTGTGGATAAAGCCTTAGAAGCTGCCCCCACCCTGTAATAGTGACTATAAGGATTATATTAGGGCCCTATTATATGCCTATTATACCACTATTACAGGGTGGGGGCAGCTTCTAGCCTAGACCGCCCAAGCCTGTCGCTCGGAGCCGACGCGGTACGCCTCCATCAGAGGGTCTCGGGGATCAGGGTTTACAGTACAGGCTGAAAAGTTGGAAACCCAGTAGCCTCAATCCTTAAGAGTAATATACAAGGAATCCCAGCACTATTTGGCCTTAATCCGGTTTCCAACTTTATGGGGTTTACTGTAATGTAGGAACCTGATTAAGAAACCCTGGGCCTATAACCCCAAAATAGTAGGATTGGAACAAGGAACCCTAATAAAGGCTCAAGGTTTCTTAATCAGGTTCCTACATCAGTACGGTTTAGGTTCTTGCGGCTTAGGGCTTTAAGGCTGAAGGTTCAGAGCTTCAGGCTGGAACCATACAACCTGTCGACAAGGACACATACACACACACACTCTCTCTCTCTCTCTCTCTCTCTCTATGTATACATATATATGTATATACATATAAACAAAATATCTATGTAGATGTATGTATACATTTTAGTACATATATACATATATCAGTCTATATGTTCTGTATAGAAATAAATGAGGCTCCTTGGAGTTGCGACGCGACTCCGTGCATTCCGCTAAGCCCTAAATAAACCCCTAAGTCCCTAAACCCTAAACCCTAAGCCCCGAAACCCCTCAACCCTAAACAGCTAAACCCCTAAACCCTAACCACTAAACCCTACACTCTGCACAGCAACCTGCCCGAGGGGTCCTAAGACCACATGGGGTTCTTATTATAATGGCGCCAATCTAGAAGTTCTCAGGAATGGCTACCTTCATGGGGGATAGCGACCCAGACCATCATAGTAATATTATCGAAACCCTAGCTTCCACTTTATGGGCACTTAGTTCGGAGTTTAGGGTTTAGGGCTTAGGGGTTTAGGGTTTAAGGGTTTAGGGTAGGACGCTTGGTGATGTATCGATAGCAGTCATGCACTTGGATCCCACTAAAACCATCTATAACCCTGCAAACCCTCAACCCGAAACTCAGCCTTAAGCCCTTCACCCTTTTCCACCGCCGAGGGTTCCAGGGGCCAGCAAGACTAGAACTTGGTTCAAAGAACCGGTCGATCTCTCTCTCTCTCTCTCTCTCTCTCTCTCTCTCTCTCTCTCTCTTATTCACGGTATGGTTTAAGGTTTGGGTTTAGGGTTTAGGGTAATAGGGCTTAGA